AAAAAAAATTTTTTTTTTTTTTTTGCAGAACCAGGGATTGAACTCAGGCCTTTACACTTGCCAGGGAAGCACTTATTCCACTGAGCCATCTCCCCGGCCCTCAAAATTTTAAAAAGCAGGAGCTATAGCTCAGTGTAAAAGCCCTAGGTTTAATCCCCAGTACCAAAAAAGGAGGAAAAAACAAAAATAATAGGTTCACATAATTTTGCATTTTGTTATACCTTACTACCTCCATATAGCTGGCTAGAACCTAGTTAACTGACTGTATTCTAGATGTGGCAAAAGTACAAAGCGCCCCGCTTACCTGCAGACACCAGGACAACTGCTGTAAACAGACTCATCTCTTCATCACTGAGCTGCAGGGCATTTAGCTTCTCACTAAATTCAAACATGGAGTTCAGCAGGTCCCCTGCTCCCATGGAGTGTAAGTCATCCACACTATACTTCTTTCCACTTAAAAAGGTGACAGTACGCTCCTTTGCATCAAATAATGATGCAAACCGTACCATCAAAACCTGGAAAAAGAAAAACATTTAAATGTATTTGGTGAAGTTCAATAGCCATGGTAGAAAATCACTCAGTATTCAAGTCAGTTAAGAAATACCCTAAACAGGTCCAGGCTTCCACCGCCGCCTGCCCTCCCTCAGCCTATGACCCACCCCCAGCCCCTAGCCGGCGTGACCTCCATTCGGCTTAGTCTAAGAGCCGTGTTTGAGCCGCTAAGAGCTGAGGACCAGCCAGACACAGCAGGGCTGAGCACACACGGACTCCGAGGGCCGGGACAGCACGGTCCATGGCGTTGAAGGGGATTAATAAGGAGCTTAGTGATTTGGCCCGGGACCCTCCAGCACAATGTTCTGCAGGCCCAGTTGAGGATATGTTCCATTGGCATGCCACAATTATGGGACCTAATGAAAGCCCGTATCAAGGCAGTGTATTCTTTTTGAAAATTCGTTTTCCTACAGACTACCCCTTCAAACCATCTGAGGGTACATTTACAATAAGAATTTATCATCCAAATATTAACAGTAATGGCAGCATTTGTCTTGATATTCTAAGATCACAGTGCTCTCCTGCTTTAACTATTTCTAAAGTTCTTTTATCCATTTGTTCACTGCTATGTGATCCAAACCCAGATGACCCCCTAGTGCCAGAGATTGCACGAATCTACAAAACAGACAGAGACAAGTACAACAGAGTATCTCGAGAATGAACTCGGAAGTACACCATGCGATGCTACCTTAAAATCAGAACAACCTGCATTAGAGCTGGAATAAACTTTATATTACTGTTCCTTTTTTGATTTTCTTATCCGGCTGCTCCCCTATCAGACCTCATCTTTTTTTAATTTTATTTTTTTGTTTACCTCCCTCCATTCATTCATATGCTCATCTGAGAAGACTTAAGTTCTTCCAGCTTTGGACAATAACTGCTTTTAGAAACTGTAAAGTAGTTACAAGAGAACAGTTGCCCAAGATTCAGAATTTTTTTTAAAAAATGGAGCATGTGTATTATGTGGCCAATGTCTTCACTCTACCTTGGTTATGAGACTAAAGCATTCCTCACAGCTCTAACTGCTGAAGAAGCCATCTGAGGGGGGAATGGATGCTTGGTGATCTCAGCAGGGAAGCAGCATTACTCTAGCAGCATCCATGCTTGTTAAGCCTTCCACGGTTAGAGATTTGAGGTTACTTGATATACTTTATGCTCAGAACTGATGTGGCTGGAGAACTGGTATTGAATTTATAGCATCAGCAGAACAGAAAATGTGATGTATTTTATGCATGTCAATAAAGGAATGACCTGTTCTTGTTCTACAGAGAATGGAAATTGGAACTCAAACACCCTTTGTATTCCAAAGTAGGGTCTCAAAACGTTTTGTAATTTTCATTTAAATTGTTAGGAGGCTTGGAGCTATTAGTTAATTTGTCTTCCAATACACTGTTTAATATAGCACTGAGCAAATGATGCAAGTTGTCAATGGATGAGTGATCAACTAATAGCTCTGCTAGTAACTGATTTTTCTTCAATAAAGTTACATAATCCCCCCCCCAAAAAAAAAAAACCCTAAATAGAAGAGAAAACTGTAAAAGATACTAAGTTTATTTTTACCTGGAACCATTTTCTCTACCAAAACAATAAACACTCCAAGAACATTAGAGAAAAAAAAAAAAAGACTCCAGCCACCAAAAGCAAAATACTTTTGAGTTCTGCAATACTCTAAACTCTACTAACAAAGAGTCTGAAATGCAAATCTAAAATTAAAGCAAACAATAATGCCAAGAAATTTTAAAACAGGCCCTAGGCAAAGGCATTAAACTCTTCAGGTTGCCATAAACATGGTCTCTGTGCCCAAGTAAAAAAACAATATTCCAATGCAGCAACACCTGGAAACATCAGAACACCAAAAGTAGTCAAGGAAAATACAAATGAACTCTAATTAGGTTACTTCAAGAAACCACGACCCAAAGAGACTACACAGAAAGTCCACTATCACAATAAAAGTTCTCTAAATGCCAAGTTATAACTGCTATTAAAATTCAATCAGTTGCTCAGTAGAATAAGCACTTGCTTGGCAAGCGCAAGGGCCTGAATTCAATCCCTGGTTTCGCAAATAAATTAATTAATTAATTAATTCAATCAGTTAAAATTTACAGTACTTACCTATATCCCTCCCTGCATTACACTTAACTGGTAACGTCAATAGCCTACATTTCTGTAATCAAAGGAACACTTTCCTTTTGAATGCACCCAAGCAAACACATTGTTCAAAAAAAAAAAACAAAAAACGGGAGTGAGCCTGCTATGAAAATGCAATGGAGCTAGCCTTAGACACCACAATACCCAGACAAATCACACGTAGAAAGAATACAATTCTGCAGTATGTGTTACGAATTCACTGGTACAACAAGAAAGGTGTCTTCCCCTCAGTAAGTCATAGTTACAAAATGAATAAACTGGATTTCCCTTCTGGCCTTAAATCTTAAAATGTACTGTTTCTCTTCAAACTGAAAAGTCTAAAGTAGGTTTTGCTTTATAATTACTCCATAGCAGTTTTATGTATGAGTGTGGTTTGTTCTCTCTCCAAGTGCCCAGAAAACAGAACCTGAGACAAAAGCTTCTATGGGCTGTGCACTGGCACACGTGAAAACAGGAGTACAGAAAAGGAAATGAGACAAAAAAGGAGAGCAGATGAACACTAGGGCAGTGGTGCGCACCCATGGTACACTGCTGCAGACGAACACTAGGGCAGTGGTGCGCACCCATGGCACACTGCTACAGCCGGCTGTTATCACTGAAAGCACTGAAGGTCTGCCGTCACTGTACCAGGGTGTATTACTGACCACTTAATATGAAGAGCATCCTTGGAAAACGAAAATACAGCCCTGGCCTGGGTTCAAAACTCTGGCCCACAAGAAATCAAGTTCTCACACCTCCCCAGATTTCACTTATGCTTGCGCTCCCAGCAGTACCTAAAGCTTCTCCTGCCTCAGCAGCAACAGGGAAGCCCTGGGCCAGACAGAAGTAAGAGACACTGGCTGATAGGTCCTACCCAAGGTGGCAGCAGTGGATGCCTACCCAAAGCCCAGGCAGAACACACTCCTGCAAAGAAGCTAACAGAAAATAGGTAGGCAAAGATCCTGAAGACCAGTGATGCTGAGAGGACCTGAGGCAGCACAAGAGATAAATCCCAGTATTCTATCATCTCCTAAAAGACCAAAAAAAAAAAAAAAAAAAAAAAATGCTATTATCCCTTGTTATTGTCTACTGATCAGGCGATGGCTATGCCTCTGCAGGTGTCTTTTTTTGGTACTAGGAATCAAACTCAGGATCTCGTGCTTGCCAGGCAGGTACTGTGCTACTGAGCTATATCTCTTAACACTCTGCAAAACCCAACAAGTCGGGCTGGTGAGACAGCTCAGCAGACTAACTGCCTGCTTAGGCAAGCACAGAGACCGTGGTTGAATCCCTGGCACCACAGGCCATGCCAGCCCCAACCCTGGGCGCATTGAACCAGCCACGGAGACCAGTGTGGTGGCGCACACCTGTAATTCCAGTGCTGGGGAGGCTGAAAACAGACAGATCACTACGAATCTGAGCTGCACAGTGAGACCCTGACAAAATACATTAAAAAAAAAATTTTTTTAAATGTCCATACCTAAAAACAAAGAAGTAACTCTGTATTTACCTACTATCTTTTGAAATCCTAAAGTGGACATTTATTCTTTGGTTGACAGTATCAGACTCTGAACTATAAATGCTCAGAAAAGAATAAAAACTGTACACGTCCTGCAGCAATATACAAGATAAATAAAACCTACCTCAAAAGTCCCAGCCTTTAAAAGGTTGACTTGGTCATGCTGAGAGAGATCCCTGAAGCCAGGAATACGCTTTGCAAATTCCACCACTTCTTTCACTGCTGGTGTGAAACTCATCGAAAATTCTTCCCAGATTTCATGTCCCGATTTATGTGGATCCACATATGGAGACTTACTCATTGGACAGACCTTGTACACACAAACAAAAACACTCTTAAAACTGTGAGACATGGCAAAAGAAATTCCAAAAGCATATCTCAGTCATGAGACAGAGCAAAAATGTGCTATTTATCCTTTCTCCACTGGCTCCTCACCTTGGCAATAAATATGTAAATACTAACTTTCAATGTACAATTTAAAAATAAACAATTTCTAGTCAATGAAAGATGACTAAGCATTTAAATAAAAGAGGTACAATGAAGTACATACCCTGTACATAAAAAAAGGAAACCTAATTTACATAATTAAGTAATATAAAAGGTAGCCAAAGCAAAATCCTATCTATAATGAGCTATTTCAAAAACCTACTGCGCAGGGTTTTGTTTTGTTTTAGTTATGCAGAGGTTTAAGGATTTTTTAACACTGCCACAATCTTATGTTGACATAGTGCTTCATAATTTTTGAAATAAACTCAAATTGGTCTGATTCTCAACTTAGTAATGACTGATAATTACTTTTTTTGTTTGTTTGTCTCTTTTTGCTGTGGTGGAAAACCACACTAAAACCACCTTATTTCTAAATAGGCAAAATTACAACACTGCAGTTTCCAAGAAGGTAGTAAGGTACTTTGCCTTTTAAGAAGCTTACAGGGGTTGGGGAGATGGCTCAGTAGAATAAGCACTTCCCTGTCAAGTGCGAGGGTCTGAGTTCAATCCCCAGTTCCACCAAAAAAAAAAAGAAGCTTACATATCCTGGCTTTCAATGTTAAGAGTACCAATGGTGTGTGCCTCTGACCTCCACTTGTTCAATTAGGGAAGAATGACTGCAGATACAAGGTGCATCTTCTACATGTGACTGACTAAGGGAGGGAAACACAGGAAGCCAAACACTAAAAAGATGATGAAACGTGCTATCTACGCTTACCAGTAAAACCAACTTCTAAATTTTCATTAAATCCATACAAGATCCAAGGATGGGGTGACTCTAAAACTATTGAGACTATCATGAAATCAGAACCTAGATACTTACACTAAGCCCAACAAAACAGGGTCGTTAGAACCATGGAATCAAACACTTGCAAGGGACAAAAAAATTAAACCTGAAGACTGAGGTAGAGTCAACTATTTTGAAAATGAAAAAAAGACTAATTACCTGCCAGAAGAAAATATCAAACACTACCAAAGGACCTCATGGAGTACAAGAGAAATCATTCAGAACTGTTGTTTTTGATGAAATTCTGGCTGAATATGAACACTGAATATTCATGCAGAATGTTGTGTTTGATGAAAAAAAAACTTCAATAATATGAATAACATTAACATATCTCGCAGGATGAAGTATGAGAAAAATCCTTCCAAATTAGCCTGTCAATGTTCCTAAATTCTTAAACAATAAAATATCTAGGGTCTATAATCCACAGATCTTTCTGCAATATTTTTTTTAAATACTCTCTCTGCCAGGCCACTGTCTGTGCCTGCAGTCCGGGATATTCAGTAGGAAAGGTACTTGAGCCCAGCAGCTCGAGGCCAGCTTGGGCAACAAAGTAAGACCCCACCTCAAAACAAAATAGAAAGGGAAAAGAAAAATGCCTCTCTCCATAGAGAGCAAAGACTTTCTGACTGTGGTAAACTAAAAGATTAGCCCTTCTGAGCAAACACCAAAGCTAATACAGTGCTCAGTAATCATACTCCATTTCCAAAGGGATTTCTCTAAGAATTAAAGGTCCAATTCTGTACAGATCGTATTTTACATAAAATCTTAATCCCAATCACAGCATCAATTAAATCACATGCTTGTACCTAGTTTTGTATAAAAGCAGGTATTTTAACAAGTATTATTTATTAAAATTATTTGAACTAAAATGCTGTACAAAACTGACATTTATTTCTCCTTAGGCTTTCTGATCCACCTCCCAAGGTGGTATGTCCCCCCAAAAAAGAAAACCCACAAAGGCTTTCCTTGATACAAGATGAGAAAAAAACTGATTTCACTGTACCAGATGCATCCTCCCTCCAGTGTTGCACACGTAACTATTCTTGCTCTCATTCTGAGAAAATCCATCTATTGGACCTCTATCACATACTCTTTGAGTATAAGCACTGGAGAAGTTCACGCAGTGTCCATTTGCAACACAAATGGCATGCCCACTGGGGTAATGCACCATGTTCCTCCCTTTATATTGTCCACTGACACTGAGCTGCTGTTGGCTCTCACAGGGAAAATGGCCATTGAGGCCATTAGCACAACGGTCATGATTTAAATTATATGGCTCCATGCTCTTGGGAATCCGTTCTCCCCTGTGGGGCTGCATGCCCTCGGCTGGGTTTTCGTGCTGCTCTTGATTATACATGAAGGTATCCTTGTGTGCTCTGGTCACCATGCCAATCACTTCTTCCTTTGCAAAATCAGAAGAGGAAGGAGGTGAGCATTTGACATTTTCTTGCTCCAGCTGGGGTTTGGGTCGCAGCTGTTCCTGGGCAGGCAGGGCTGTCTGCTCACGGTGTTCTCTCAAGGTGTCACTCTGCAAGTGACTGCTGAACTGGCTGCTCATCATGGTCTTCATCGCACTCTGCATCTCGATCAGCATCCTCTGTTTCTCACGTTTCGGAATGCGACCAAATCGAACAGCTATTAAGGAAAAAAGTCATTTAACATTCTAAGTAAGACCTATCTCTACAAAGAATGACAGAAGTATCTCTAGCAGCTATGGCCTCTAGTCACCCAAGTGAAGAGTGCCTACATGTCTCTAGTCCAAATTCTTCCAAATTTGCTGGTCTTGATATACCAAAGAAAATGGGAAATGGAGAGAAATTTTTTCCATTTTTCTCACCAAAAAAAAAGCAAGGAGATTTATTTCCTGGTCACTTTACATGCAAAATCTAATATATATATATATATATATATGAATATAATGAATGAAAACCAGTTTGAAGCAGTCCAGCATTACTACACAGTCCCTTATTAACAGGGCTGAGTGCCAGAGGATGGCACACACCTGTAATGCCAGCACTTGGAAGGCTGAGACAGGAGGACTGCCGTGACGTCAACGCCAGTATGGGCTGCAGAGTGAGGTGAAGGCCAGCTGAGCTATATAGGCAGATTGTCTGAAAAAAATCAGTAAGGTTAATTCATTTTTCTAACCTTACTCTCAAAGAATCCTAACAAATTAGCTGCTCTCTTCTGGTTTCTCAAAAGGAAAAAAGAAATCTCTTTAAATACACACATATGCACAATCAATAGAATTGCAGCTACTGGAAAGTAAATTTGCTGGATTTTAATTAAAATCAATAAAATAAAAATTTGATCAGCCTTTCTCCATTTTTTTAGAAGCTAGGCTCAGAAGGTATGCTGTCTCCAGTAATTCCAGCTCTGAGGAAAAGAAATGCTATTTTCTAGTATATTTACACAAGATAATAAAAATGTAATGTAACTACCCAGCCAGAAAGCCTTACAAATTATAGCCTGTAACAATATCACTGTCAAGCTTCATCTTCAAACAGAGGCACCCAAGATTAAAATAATAAATTTTGCTCTACTTCTTTAGTTTTCTCACATTTTTATCTGTCACAGGAATCATGAAGAAACAAATGCATATAGCTCTGCTTTATGCCATAATACTTATAAGTGCAATTTTGTTTGAAAATATTAAAAAAAGATTGTTTTGCTAATCATGAGCAAATAGACATCAGATTATAAATTATCTAAGGTTTACTTGCAGTGATGAGTTGTTTCTCTTTAACACTTTGTGACAAGATATTAAATACACTGTTCAGATTTCATGTGTTTAATTAGTGTCGGCTATTGTATATTAAGAGATGCTCTTTAAGTTCAGTTTGACATGATTTATCTTTCTGCATTCAAGAATGCAACATTTCATGCCTGTTGTCCTTGAGTTTACAGTTTAGTTAAAAAATAATCTGGGTATTATATGTATTGTCTTATTTATTCAAATTTGTTAAAGAAATTTTTACTTGATAATATACATCTGTATATTAAACAGACAATGGAAAGATTATATTCAGATGTCATGATAAATTTTATACTTCCAAAACTCAAAAAAAAAAAAAAAAATGTATCACTGTCAAAGACAATATTACTATGTTTCATACTTCAGTTCCTTCTTTTATGGGTGACTGTCAACTTTTATTTTGGGGAGAACAATCCCAATAACCAATCACTATTATTAAAGCCCTAATGTACAAAATAACAAATTTCAGGTAATTAATTAAAAACATTAATTGTTGAAATCTCTTATCCTAAAAGCTCTTTAATATTCTACTTCTACATCAATAAAACATTAGAGGAATCAAACCAAATGCCTAAAGGACACTTCCCAAGATAAACAGGAAGTTAACACTTAGCAATTCTTAAAAATTCTACCAGACTAATACTTCTGAAAACCTCCTGTCCGTGTCACCTTACAGAGCCTACCCATACATTACTTTCCTAAACACAAGAGCCCAATCTTCCAAGGAGGCCTTCCAAAAATAATACTCATACCTCCACAAATTTTGTGTTTCTCCACAAATTTGCAACTTTTGTTTTTCATAAGAACAGATTATAGGGGCTGGAGAGATGGCTCAGTGGTCTAAAGCACCTACTTGGAACAAGCTTGGCAAAGCACAGGGACCGCGGTTCAATCCTCCAGCACCACATGCC